TAAGTCAGAAGTGACGCTGATTAAAGTCAGCACTGGGCTCATATCCCATCAATCTCAACAAGAAGTGTAGTAGTACGGGTGTTCGCACTGGCGCCACCATTTTTCAGAGGTGACGCTGATTAAGCCAACGCCAAGGCTCTCAACAAGGGATTTGAATCTGGGTTTAAATGTTCCGGTAAAAACATGCTTGGGGTCCTGAGCATAGCAGCGTTTGCCTTAGTTTCCGCCCTCTCAACTCTATCCATCGAGCTGTATGAACTAAGAGACTGCTGCTATAGGTACGTGCCTATGCTTAAAGTGCTAATTTCTAGTAATCATGCTTACTAAGGCCAGTAGATAGTATACTATAAGTACTGCGTGTGTGCTTTTTAAGGAGTCGCACCCAGTATGCACTCCCAATCTGTGTGAGGTAATAGTAATTAGCATTTGGATAATAATAGAGCGTTTCTAAAGTAACGCACAAGTCCTAGCATGCCCTGATGTCATGCATTTTGCCGTCTATAGACTACATATAGGCCTACTACAGTATCTATCTGTAGCCTTGACTTTGCAGAACGTCTGCTCATATCCCCTTGCTCCCAGCAGGGAGTGTGAATCTGGGTTAAAGCCATTCCGAGTAAATGCCCACCTTCAGTAACTGTCAAGTCACAGTTCTGGAAACCAAGGCTGGCGCTGCTACTACTGCTACTGATATTTATAATACTACTAACTGGGGTACAGATGAGTGTTATTATAGCTGGTACTATTTCTGGCTGTATTATCCGTCAGAAAGTGACGCTGATTATAGTCAACTCTGGGCTCATACTTCCAAAATCTCAACAAGAGGTGTAGTAGAACTGGTGCTAGCTCTGAAGCTTCCATTTGTCAGAGGTCAGACCATCATCTTTCTAAATAGATGTGCTACAAGTACGGTAACAGAGGACAACGGTGTTGCTGAGACTTTAATAGGCTAAAAACGGACTAGGCTTTGGGGACGCGACTGCACTATGAAAACCAAGCAAATCTAAACTAAAAGACTCGACTGCATGAATTAAGAGGTACATTAGTATCTACACTGAGTAATGAAGTTACAGCAAGTTTGATTTTAAGGTAAGCTAGATTAGAAGTATGTGTAGCTTATAAAGCAAATTTACTGCTGTGGTTATGC